GAAAGTTTTCATCTGAGAAACTTAATCATCTGTGATCTTCACTTTTACCTATGAAATAGAAAGAAAGGTTGAATGTCAGGTATGTAGGGACTAATTGATTATTACCATAAACTCAGCTCCCAGAATGCAAGCTAGGACCTTGATAATATCCTCACCTTCCCATAAGGTCATGTAACTGTGAGAGAAATCTAATGTCACTGACTCCGTCATACTTCTGACCTCACAAGCTGACTGCCTTTGCTCATTCCTACATGTGGACCAAGCTATCACAAAAAGAGTTTGGATTATACTTTAGAACTAATGACTCTCACTTTTGAAACAGACCCTCAAGGAGATAAGGAAGTATGCATGTAAATAGCAATGGTTAAAGATTTATAGAAACAAGGTGGACTTGACAAGTGGTTGACCATAAACAAAGAAGTTTTGCCACCTTCTCAGACCCTTGCTGATGCCCAGACATCTGTGGTCACCAGTCATCTCCTGGCCTTAGCCCCATCCGTGTTCCCCCTCCCTATAACATAAAAGGAGCTTAAAATTAATCAACATTAGATAGTTCTTTAGGATGTTAGTCCACCATCATCTCAGTTTGCTGGCTTTCTGAAATAAGGTTGTCTTCCTTGCCCCAACACCTTGTCTCTCCACTTATTGGCTGTCTTGTGGCAAGTAGTAGAAGATTTGGACTCGACAACAGTCATCAACAGTCCAGCTCTCTGCCTCCCTTCACTATAACTATTAACCCAAATTTTATGTCCATCATTCTCCTTCTTCATTTGTATGTGGTTTTATTGAATGTACACATATTTTTAGAAAGTTTATTTTAACTTAAGTTATTAGCTCTGTAAAAGAAGTACCATGATATATAATCCTAAAGTCTCTCTTTTTTCCCTTAATGTTAATTTCCTGAGTTGCTTTTTTTGCTGTATGCCCTGGTTCCTTTGTTTTGATTGCTACATAGTAACCCTTTGGTGCACATTTATCTATTTCACTGTTGATGGGCATAAAGATTGTTTCTAATTTTTATTCTACTGTGAATAATGCTGCTTTTATATTTTACATGTTTAAAACCTTCTTTTCAATACATTGCTTTTATAATGTAAAAAAGGTTTTCATATTATTTATTCTGTTGTACTTCTGGAAGAATTTTCTTGATTATATTTTTTATATAAACAGAAAGGGAAACTTATTTTTATATTTTTTAAGTTCAAAGACAAAAGAGATGATAACTCCAGCAGCAATTTTCAGCATTTCCTGGTGAAAATGACTGATTAAAGAGATACTAAAGAATGAGGAAGATTAAGCAAAGAATTGGGTGAGAGATGGGAAAGCCTGAACTAAAAGCAGTGGTGACTGCAACAGGTGCTGTGTCATCAGCCCAAAACTCTGAGCAGCTCAGCTGACTGATCACAGAGTATGTAGGCCCGTGCACAAATGTGCACACACAAGAGGGAATAGAAAGGAGAAACAAAGAACTAAAAAATAAGTTAGTGTTGGATCCTCATTAAAGCTCAGTGAAGGAAGACTTGATATTAACAAAAGCATAGGTAACTCCCTCTAGCTGGTAATAGCCTAGGCTAGTGGCACAAAGAGGGAAATGTAAGTGGCAGGGTCTATAGAACCCATGAAACATACTTTATACTTGGACAGAGGGCTGGACAGGGAGGTGTTGCTTCTCAGATCAGTTACTGACACTGTCTATTTGGTCAGAAACAGCCTCTGACTGGGTTTCCAGTCAGTGATTTCTAGGGTAAAATTAGTTTTGGTTTTCTGAGGCAGGAGAAACATCTTAGACTCCAATAAGGGGTGAGATACAGCGAGTCCATGGGGGGCAGAACAAGGCCTCAAGGTTCAGAGCTCATTTGGTGGCAAAGTTTGAAGAAATGGCAGGCCAGGAGACATGCCCAAGGGGATTCATTAAAATCCCATTTGCTGGAGCAATATTTTCAGGGGAGGTCATGTCAGCTGAGAGGGTGAGACTATGAACCCTCCCCCAGGACAGGGCTCACTGTTGGCACAGAGACAGTGAGGCTGGGCATTGGCGGGAGTCCTTTAAGCAGCTCTTCTTATACTTCTTTTCCCACATTCCTGCTGTGCTCCTCTTTTCTCATGAAACACAGCATGAGGGGAATGTGTGAAATCTGAGGACCTGGACTCAAGAGCTCAGCCAGAGTCATTCCAAAGCAGTGAGGACTTTCTCACAAGGACAGTGGATGAGAGAACTTTGGAGGAGATTCAGCTCCTCACTTCTGCAGGATCCTGCTCTAGGTTCTCAGCTGCCTGTCTGCATCTATCTCTACTTCCAGAGAGGACTTGCAGTGCCAGCGACTGGAGGAGCCTTTGACCTCTGATCCCAGAGGCAGCCATACACACACCTATGTTCATCCCTGCCAGAAGAACCAACTCTTCTTTCTTGGCCTTCTTGAACCTCCTTACCTAGACGCTACAGCCCTTCCCATATGAGGTAAGGGCTGTGTCTCTGTTTCAAGGCAATATGGGAAGTCTGAAGTCCTGAGAAACACGGTCAAGACCTTCCACTGCTCTCATTCCCAGATTCTCTAGTTCCTCAGGCTTTATGTTACACTCACTCCCGTCTATACCTTATCTACTTTGTACATGTACCCATCTTGCACATATGGGGACACCCAAAATAATTCTTTGCCACCGACCAGCCGTGAGTTCCTAGAAGTCCTAATAATGGCCTCCTGGTAAAAGTCTCAGTACTTACCTTTGTTACATCTAGATTTTCCTGGCCTCCAATAGTTTGATATGAGTCCCCAAATGAATAGTACCTCAAAGGAAGACGATCTAAAATATGCTGAAGCGCCTTTCCCCTGTGGGAGTGCTTGGCACTAAGTCCAGTGCCACATAAAAAGCCAATTGAAGTAAATACAAAAAATAAATATACTGAGCAGAGGTGCAAAAAAAAAAAAAAAAACTTATATCAATATACTTCCGAAACTTTAGCTCTACCTTGTGAATTGACTGACCATTTTCCATGAAATATAACAATGTCTCTCTTAATATCAGCTCTGCTGACTTCTCTTGGTTTTAAATACCCACAACCACCAGCAGTTTTCCAGAAAGAAGCTCTTCTGTAAGCCCAGTGTGTGTTCTCTGGCCTTTCCCTTTAGGTGACCCCAGAGGGGAGAACCCAGTGAATGGAAAGGAGGGAAAACAATAGTCCTGTATCAGAGGGAGGAGGTAGGTATGTAGGATCCTGGGTCCTAGTCACCCCACTTCACCCAAGCCCTGATTTTGCTTCTCTTTGAAATCCTGTGCAAACATTTGTTATAGGAAGCTAGAGGAATACGCCCCACTAATTATTTTCCTCCTTTTATTTTCCTGTCCATTCATCTTTTTATTCAAGAAAAATAAAGGCGTTTCAAATCTAATGTTTAGCAGAAATAGTGCTTAGAATTGTCTTTGGACTTGTCTTTTCATTTTCAACAGACAAATAAGGTTTTCCAGTCAGTAGGTCAGTGGTTCCTAGGTCAAAATTATAATTTTGGTTTTGTAAGGCAGGAGAAAGATCTTAGACTCCAATGAGTGCCGAAACAGTTTTATAGGGGTATTTTTCTGGCTTGTTTCTTGTCCACACTTCACTGGGTAAAAATGCAAAGAGGACATTCCTGTACTATATTTTAAGGTTCTGACTTTCACGATACCATCCCTCACTGTTTTTTAATTATATCCTGAGCCTTTTTGATTTAGCCAGCTCCTATTTATCCTCAGCATGTTGTTTGTATACCACTTCCTTAGTGAATCCTTTCCTGAAACCTCATTTACATATTATCCTAGTGTGGTTTTTTCATGTATCATTGAATGTATGTAGGTGTTTGTGTGATCGATTTTTCACATCTACACAGTTGCCCAAGTGTAATGCCTGAGATATCATAGGTCTTTAGTAAATATTTATTGAATGAATGAAAGGAGCTGGAACAGAAGGGCCTTCCAATGTCAGCTTTTTATATGACATTAGCACTTAAAGGTTCTAACTCTGAGTTGACCAGCATAGTGACATAAATGGATATTTGGAGAAGTAGGTGCAGATTATGGAAGGGAAAGATGAATAATTTGATCGAAAATTATTTTTCTCTTCCAAAAGGCCTCCTAAGTCTTCCATCCAACTTTGAAAAAAACTGAATTCATAAAAAGCAAGCCAAGTGAACGCTGTCCCACATGCACCTCAGACTCCACTTCTCTTCCTCAACCCCTAGCAGCAGAGCTACCATATGGATTCAGGGTTCAGCAGAACCAACATTTTCCTTGTATTCCTAAGATTTGTGGGGAGAAATCTTCTTCTCACCTTGAGTGTGTTGCTGTGGCTCACAGGTAATGCTATTGCCTTGGGCCGTGTCTACAACGTCTCCTCCTTTGTGGCTCACTCCTTGTATCATGTGCCCTAAACACAAACACCTGCCGTGCCGCCACAAATATCATTTACTGCCTTTATTCCTGCCTGTTTCTGAGAAAAAACCTTATCATTATCTAGGCAAACACCTTTGATACTGTTCCTCTAGATTTATTTCTAAAATCTATACTACCATGACTGTCAAGTTCAGCCCAGAATTCTCTTTCCCTCCAACAGGGTAGCATTTGAAGAGTCCCGGTGACCAAGCAGCCCAAGAGCCCAGAGATTCTCCCATTGAGGAAGGTAATCAACAACAGTGAGACTGGTTTAAGGGAGAAGACAGTAAAGAGTTTTTTTTATAAATAAAACTTTAAAAACTGAATTGGAATTCCAAGTACATTTAAGGCAGAAAAAAATAGCTAGATCTTAAACCAATGCCCAGTGTATTTGTTCATTGTGAAGAGAGAGATGCTTTCATCTATCTACAAAGATGTTTGCTTAGGCTCGTTCTTCTGGATACCTTATTTGAAGGGATTTCTAAATGATTATCTTAATGACATGCCAAATTACCTATACCAGCATTCAGAAATCAGAGGCATACTAACAGATTGAAAAGATACGGTATTATGGGATTCCTATTGGCCAATGCACATTGACCTAGAACAATCCAAAGCTACAGTGCACACCATCAGAAAAGCTTCCACTAATAATACATTTGGTTCTAGGCAACTAAAAAACCACAGCATGGAGCTCCGGAACTCCACCTTGGGAAGCAGCTTCATCTTGGTGGGGATTCTGAATGACAGTGGGTTTCCTGAACTGCTCTGTGCTACAGTTACAGTCCTATACATGTTGGCCCTGACCAGCAATGGCCTGCTGCTCCTGGCCATCACCATGGAAGCCCGGCTCCACGTGCCCTTGTACCTCCTGCTTGGACAGCTCTCTCTCATGGACCTCCTGTTCACATCTGTTGTCACTCCTAAGGCCCTCGCGGACTTTCTGCGCAGAGAAAACACCATCTCCTTTGGAGGCTGTGCCCTTCAGATGTTCCTGGCACTGACAATGGGTAGTGCTGAGGACCTCCTACTGGCCTTCATGGCCTATGACAGGTTTGTGGCCATTTGTCATCCTCTGAAATACATGACTCTCATGAGCCCAAGAGTGTGCTGGCTCATGGTGGCCACATCCTGGATCCTGGCATCCCTGGTAGCTCTAGGACATACCATGTACACTATGCACCTCCCTTTCTGCATGTCCTGGGAAATCAGGCATCTGCTTTGCGAGATCCCACCCTTGCTGAAGTTGGCCTGTGGTGATACCTCCAGGTATGAGCTTATAATATACGTGACAGGTGTGACTTTCCTCTTGCTCCCCATTTCTGCCATTGTGGCCTCCTACACACTAATTCTATTCACTGTGCTTCGTATGCCATCAAATGAGGGGAGGAAGAAAGCTCTTGTCACCTGCTCTTCCCACCTGACTGTGGTTGGGATGTTCTATGGAGCTGCCACATTCATGTATGTCTTGCCCAGTTCCTTCCACAGCCCCAAACAAGACAACATCATCTCTATTTTCTACACAATTGTCACTCCAGCCCTGAATCCCCTCATCTACAGCCTGAGGAATAAGGAGGTCATGGGGGCCTTGAGGAGGGTTCTGGGAAAATACAGGCTGCTGGTACATTCCACGCTCTAGGGAGGGATCATGGCTGCCTCTCACCATTCCTGCTCCAAATAAAATTCTCTACTCACTCATTCCTGCTCCAAATAAAATTCTCAACTCACTCATTCTTCAATACTATACTTTCAGATGATACATACATTTTTAAAATTTTACTTTTTATTCAACTGCGAATCTGGTGTGTACAATGACCTTGACTTAAACTCATTTGGCACACATCATCCTGACTTTGGAAACCCACGTTATACAATATCCAGATGGGGGGAAAAGCCTTGAATGGGTGTTGTAGACTCACTCTGTGGTAGGGCATCTTCCTGACACATTACCAAGTAGACATGGTAGGGGATTAGCTTTCCATTTGAACGTCATGTAGCAGTGAGAAGCAGCAGTAGTTTTGGACTGACCAAATTCCAATAGCCTCTCAGCATCAGAGGAGGAGTGTTCCCTTTGAAGCCGATTCTTAAACTATTAATAGAGAGAACAATTTTCAGAAGATATATTAGATTTCCTGTTTATTAGTAGATGATTGTTTGAGCAGTTAGTGGAAATGAATAAGGGTTATGTGACTACATTTGTACTCTAGACCTGAGGGGCCTTCATATGGGTTACTTGAGTAATGATAAATAATTACATTGAAAGCGTGGGGCCGGGCACGGTAGCTCACACCTGTAATCCCAGCACTTTGGGAGGCCGAGGCGGGCAGATCACCTAAGGTCAGGAGTTCGAGGCCAGCCTGGCCAACATTTTGAAACCCGGTCTCTACCAAAAATACAAAAATAAGTGGGGCATAGTGGCGGGCGCCTGTAATCCCAGCTACTCGGGACGCTGAGGCAGTAGAATTGCTTGACCCTGGGAGGCGGAGGTCCCAGTGAGCCGAGATGGCGCCACTGCACTCCAGCCTGAGTGACAGAGAGAGACTCTATCTCAATAAATAAATAATAGAAAGAAAGAAAGAATGGAAAAGGATAAAGAAAGATATTTCTACTTGGAAATTTTGACAGTCTTTTTGAAAATGGGCATTTTTACATGGTCTAAAATTAAAACTAAAATAAAGAATGAATAAAATAGAATTGAAAGTACCAGTTTTAAAGTGAGTACAATAACAATGAGAGAAATTTGTTGAGCATATTGTCTGAATTTTTTAAATTGTGGACTTGTGGATATATGAATGTGTTTTTGAACATTAAAACAATTGAAAGAGGTTATATTCTTGAGGTGAGTATATGTGCGTGTCCATAGAAAAGGAAATATAAAATTTATAATTTGCTTTCTAGCTAGCCTAAATATGCCTTATTTTTTTTTTATTCTACTCATCGGTGTGGGAAGATTTATAGCAAAATTCGGGAACTTAAATTTGTTGAGTGCAGAATTCCCAAAATACCTTGGCTTACATAGGCGTTACTATTCTTGAGAACAGTGCTTTGTCAAAACACAGTAATTCTTGTTTTCTTTACAGAAATAATATTACATTATTTAATCTGTAAAGCTAAACCCTAAAAAATAAAAAGTAAAGCTAATCTATAAAATTAATCTGTTTATTATAAAAACTGAGAAAATTAAGAAATTTGGAATGAATCAAAAATCACTTATAAATTTTTCCTTTTTGTTGTACATATAAATTTAAATGTCTGTGATGATGAAGGTCCTGGGTTTTTTTCATTTGAAATTTGGTGAATCTTCTTCTTTGCTATGAGGGGATATTTTAGAGTAGTGATGAGAAAGCAGACCAGAGTGCCTGCATTTGAATCCCGGTCTTCCTTTGGTCATCTATGCATCTTTGGATGCTAAATTAAATTCTTTGTACCTTAGTCTGCTGATGTCAAAAGTGGTGATATTTACGGGCCTCCTCTCATGATATTGTTGGGTAGATTAAATAAGATAATAAGTATCAGGTACTTAGACAACTACTTAGTAAATAGTGCTTAAAACATTTTGGCTGCTATATGGATAAATAGTAAAAAGCCTTTTAAAGAATCAATATTATTTTATTGTTTCCTTTTAGAAATGAAACATTTGTTTATTATTTTTATTGACAAAAATTGTATGTATTAATGTAGTACAACATGATGTTTTAAAATATGTATACTTTATGGAATTGCTAAATCAAGCCAACTAACATATGCTTTACTTCATATACTTATCTTTTTTGCATCAGGAACAGTTCAAGTCTACTTTCTCAGCAATTTTCAAGTATACAATATGTTCTAATTACCTGTAATCGCCATGAACTACAATAAATCTCTTGAGCTCATTCCTCCTGTCTAACTGAAGTTTTGTGTCCTTTGACCAGCATCTCCCAAATCCCCCTACCTCAACATTCGGTAACCACCATTTTACTCTCTGTTTCTGTGAATTCAGCTTACAGGTTCTGCATATAAGTGAAATCATGTGATATTTTTCTTCCTATACCTGGCTTATTTCACTTAAAATAATGTTCCCCAGATTCATTCACGTTGTTGCAAATTACCAGATTTCCTTAATTTTTAAAAAGGAAAGATTTTCTTGTGTGTGTGTGTGTGTGTGTGTGTGTGTGTGTGTGTATCACATTTTTTAATCCATTCATTCATTGTTGGACACTTAGGTTGATTCCAGAGCTTGGCTATTGAGAACAGTAGTGCGGCTATCTCTTAAACATACTAATTTCATATTCTTTGGTTATATTGGCTCTATTTTTAACTTTTTGAGGAACTTTCATACTGCTTTCCCTAATGTCTGTACCAATTTACATTTCCACCAACAGTGTGCGAGAGCTCCCTTTTCTCCATATCCTAACCAACACTTACCGTATCTTGTTTTTTGGATAATCTAAATGATGGAAGGTGATATTTCATTTGATTTCCATTTCCCTGAAGATTATGAATCTTGAGAACTTTTTCATATACCCGTTGGCCATTTTTATGTCTAATTTTAAGAAATGTCAATTTAGGTTCTTTCCTCATGTTTTACTCAGGTTACTCCTGCTGAGTTGAGTTCCTGATATGTTTTGGATATTAACCCTTTATTAGATGTATGATTCAAAATATTTTTATGCATTCTATAGGTTGTCTTTTCACTCTAATGATTATTTCCTTTGCTATGCAGAAGCTTCATTGTATTCATGTGGCATATCACATTTATTGATTTGCACATGTTGAACCATCCTTGCATCTGTGAAATAAATCCCAGTTGATCATGGTGAATGATCCTTTCAACACTCGTTGAGTTCAGTTTGGTCATACTTTTTTTGAGAATTTTTGCAACTATGTTCATTAGATGAATTGGCCTGTAATTTTGTTTTCTTGTAGTGTCATTTTCTGTCTTTAGTATCAGAGTAATACTTCCAAAGGATGCAGAAACAGCATGAATTCAAAGATAATTTTCAGCCAAGGGAAAAAAATTATAAGCAATCAGTTTATTTGACTTTATTTTATTTTACTTTAAGTTCTAGGGTACATGTGCACAACATGCAAATTTGGTACATAGGTATACATGTAATATGTTGGTTTGCTGCACCCATTAGCTCATCATGTACATTAGGTATTTCTCCTAATGCTGTCCCTCCCCTAGTCCCCTACCCCACCACAGGCCCCAGTGTGTGATGTTCCCTGCCCTGTGTCCATATGTTCTCATTGTTAAATTCCCACCTATGAGTGAGAACATTGAGTGTTTGGTTTTCTGTCCTTGTGATAGTTTGCTGAGAATGATGGTTTCCAGCTGCATCCATGTCCCTGCAAAGGACATGAACTCATCCTTTTTTATGGCTGCATAGTATTCCATGGTATATATGTGCCACATTTTCTTCATCCAGTCTATCATTGATGGACATTTGGGTTGGTTCCAAGTCTTTGCTATTGTGAATAGTGTCGCAATAAACATACATGTGCATGTGTCTTTATAGTCATATGATTTATAATCCTTTGGGTATATACCCAGTCAAATTGGGTCAAATTGTATTTCTAGTTCTAGATCCTCAAGGACTCACCACACTGTCTTCAACAATGGTTGAACTAGTTTACAGTCCCACCAACAGTGTAAAAGTGTCCCTATTTCTCCACATCATCTCTAGCACCCATTGTTTCCTGACTTTTTAATGATTACCTTTCTAACTGGCATGAGATGGTATCTCATTGTGGTTTTGATTTGCATTTCTCTGATGACCAGTGATGATGAAGATTTTTTGATGTGTCTGTTGGCTGCATAAATGTCTTCTTTTGAGGAGTGTCTGTTCATATCCTTTGCCCCCTTTTTGATGAAGTTGTTTTTTTCTTGTAAATTTGTTTAAGTTCTTTGTAGATTCTGGATATTAGCCCTTTGTCAGATGGATAGATTGCAAAATTTTTCTCCCATTCTTTAGTTGCCTGTTCACTCTGATGGTAGTTTCTTTTGCTGAGCAGAAGCTCTTTAGTTTAATTAGATCCCATTTGTCTATTTTGGCTTTTGTTGCCATTGCTTTTGGTGTTTTCGTCATGAAGTCTTTGTCCATGCCTAGGTCCTGAATGGTATTGCCTAGGTTTTGTTCTAGGATTTTTATGGTTTTAGGTCTAACATTTAAGTCTTTAATCCATCCTGAATTAATTTTTGTATAAGGTGTAAGGAAGGGATCCAGTTTCAGATTTCTACATATGGCTAGCCAGCTTTCCCTGCACCATTTACTAAATAGGAAATCCTTTCCCCATTTCTTGTTTTTGTCAGGTTTGTCAAGGATCAGATGTTTGTAGATGTGTGGTGCTATTTCTGAGGACTCTGTTCTGTTCCATTAATCTATATCTCTGTTTTGGTACCAGTACCATGCTGTTTTGGTTACTGTAGCCTTGTAATATAGTTTGAAGTCAGGTCGCATGATGCCTCCAGCTTTGTTCTTTTTGCTTAGGAACAGTCAGTTTATCTTAATGTGGGTTCCCTCAGAATTTGATTCTGAGCAAGAATTTGAATACATAGTATATTTAGGAAGCAATTCCAGGAAAAACTAGTAGAATTTGCAAGAGGGAAACAGACAAAGAAAAGACTCAATAATGAGTGAGTTATCAGGCAAGTTTTTGTGGGCAATTGAATCCTAATCTTCCTAAGGAATTCTTGGAAAGAGTAAAACATGTATCTCAGAAGTATATTTCACCTCCGATGTAAGAGATTGTGTAGGCCATTCTTACATTGCTATAAA